TACTTTACATGGAATTTTCCCAATTCCTCATCAGATAATGATTGATGTCACCACCGATGGTTCCTTTAAAAATCAGGCCAATATTTCCACATTGACTTTTCATTCATTGCATATTTTCAAATTGGCTTATTTGAGTTCAAAAAACAAAAATGTCCTTAAGTTTATAAAACAATTACAGAATATGATTTTGTTAAAATCACAATATTACCATTTAGTTAACAAATAAAAACCAAATATTCCCTATTTCAAATTTCAAAATCAGCTCCAACACAGATAAGAACTCTCACATCTTTTCAATCTCAAAATCTAAAAAATATAGATAGCTGAAGAAAAAAAAAATTTCTGTCAATCACTTCGAATCGGTAAATATATTTACGTATGTTTAATTTCGTTTTTGTTAAATGTGTATAGGTTTTTAATCGATAAATTATGATTCGACAGACAGATAAGTTTTTTTAGCAAATGTATAATTTCTTTAAGCACGAACGAAAAAAAATTCATCTCGATGTTAGAAAAAACAACCGTCTGAACATCGGATAAAACAGCCGGCAGTCCGGCTGTTAGCAGCCGAACCGTCGGCTGTTAGATGACTGTTAATTTAATTTTTTTTTGTTTTTAATAAGTTTCTATTCCCACTGTGAGCCGAATTTTTAAATGAATAAACTACAAATTCTGTTTTATCATGCAGGTATGATGATTGTACTCCCGATTTGTTATTTTAGTGATTTTGAATTGGATGAAAATAATCGATGGACATGGAAATGAACGAATGACATATAAGATGGTACGTGATAACCCAAGAATAACTAACCAAGAGGGGGATGAATTAATTTTTGAAACTTTTTCGACACTTAGTCTAAAAATAATACAATACACAAGATATAACTGCAAAGTATAACACTAGAATTAAATATGCAAGTTCGATAACTTAATTCAAATGTGGATATATCACAATATAAATGACAATGTAAAGTGAAGTGCAATAATGTAATGATAACAA